CCAAACTATCGAGGACAGGAATTAAAGGCTCTACATCGTCTCCCTTTTCATCCTTTGTGAAATGATGTTTGATAATGCTTAGGTATTTTAGTTTGAATTGGGAAAATGCACTCGATGATGACTGAGGTTTGATTTGCGTTGCAGAAAAATTCAAGAGCATGAGATTGAACTTGAGAGACTAGAGAAGCATGAGATTCAAGAGAATAAATCAAAATGCATTGCTTTAAAATTTGACTCAAGGGAAGAACTAGAATAATATGCTCCGGATGAAGATGAGAATTTCATGCTTCTTGTAAAATGGTTTGGTAATTTTTTAATAATAATGATAAATCTTTAAACCATGCAAAAAGAAATAATTTTTTGAGGAAAAGAGAAGCTTTTACGTCAATACAAAATGTCACTTGCTATGAATGTGGAAAGCAAGAACACATAGAGACGGATTGCATAAAACTCACCAAGAAAAGGGTTTTCAAAAGAAGAAAATAGTCAAGGTTCAAAAAGGCCTATATTACATGGGATTATAATGAAGTGAGTTCATCATCCGATTCAGAAAGTAAGGACTATGAAAATCTTGTGTTGGTGGCATCACATCATTCAGATGATGAAGAAGAATACATTAGTAACAAAATATCTTCTAATTATAATAATGCTCATGGAGAAATAAATGAACAACTCAATGAATGTAAAATTTTGTATAAAACGGTGTCAACACAACAGAAACAAATTTCATCTCTTGAAGAAAAAAAATGACACCATGCAAAACGATTTTGAAGTTGAAAAATAGAATTATTTTGATGAACAAAAATAGAATTTTACATGCAAATAGTGTAATTCCCTTTCTTTTCAAATTGTCAAATTAAAAAGTCTTTTGAAAGATATAAAAAAGTACAAATCGGATTTGAAGGCATCATTAGTAGACAAAGATACTCAAAAGATAAAAGTGGACTCAATTATTAAAAGTTTGACAAACCAATCTCTAGCAAAACTATATTTATTAAAGCAAGTGACCAATCAACAAAAGAGAAAGTGACCAAAGTGCAAAATGTTCATCATTATCCTAAGAGTAAAAATGGTTGAAAAAGGACTTATGTTCCAAGATATAAAAGTAATTTAATTCCTACATATTTCTATTGTGGTATAATTGGTCACACGCCTAATGCTTGCTATGTAAGGAACTTCATTATTGCTACTGGGAACTAATTATGAACGATCCAAGGCACGTTGGATACCCAACAAACCTGAATTTGTTTTGTAGGTTTGCTTGAATACCACTACAAATTTATGGTATCTTGATAGTGGTTGTTCTAAGCATATGACGGTAGATAAATTGTTTTTTTATCTCTAGTACTAAAAGCCAATGGATATGTCACATATGGGGACATCAACAAAGGAAACATTCTCGACATAGGAAAATTTTGAGTACCACCTTTCATAACCGTTAAAGATGTACTTTATGTTGTAGGACTAAAGGACAATCTTCTTAGCATAAGAAAACTTTGAGACAAAGGCTTCAAAATCATCTTCATACCCTATTTATGAAGATGAAGCCACTAATGAGGTAAATCTTAAAGGTAAAAGATTTAATAATATTTTCATGATCTCTTTAGATGATTTATCTTTAAAAGTAAAATGTCTCATGGTAAGCAACAATGAATCATGTCTTTGGCATAAAAGAGTATCTCTTATTCGTATGGAACATTTAAACAAACTAGTCAAACATGATCTTGTCATTGGCTTACCAAAGAAGAAATTTGTCAAAGATTAATTATGTGATGCATGTCAAAAAAGGAAGCAAACCAAATCAACTTTCAAGCCAAAGAATGTGGTGTTAACTACAAGGCTACTTCAATTGTTTCACAAGGACTTGTTTGCCCCATCAAGAACTATAAGTTTTAGAGGTAATGTATATGCCTTGATTATTTTTGATGATTTTTCTATAATTTCTTGGACACCATTTTTAGTGCAGAAAAGTGATGATTTCAAGACATTCAAGAAGTATACAAAGAAAATGAAAATTTAGAAATCAGTAAAGATTGCATCAATTAGAAGTGATTAGGGTGGAGAGTTCCAAAATGCATCATTTAAAGAGTGTTCTGAAGAACATGGCATCTTTTATAATTTTTCAGCACCAAAGACTCCTCAATAAAATGGAGTGGTTGAAAGAAATAATTGATCTCTAGTTGAACTTGCAAGAACCATGTTAACTGACTCAAATCTACCAAAGTATTTTTGTGCGAATGCGGTTAGCATGACATGTTATGTATGCAATCGGGTTATCATTAGACCAATATTGAAAATAATCCATATAAACTCTTCAAGGGAAGAAATCCAAACATTGCTCACTTTCATATCCTTGAATATAAGTGTTTTGTCCTCGACAATGACAAAGACAATCTCAATAAGTTTGATGAGAAATCCGACAAAGGTGATTTTCATGGGTACTTTCTCCCTAGTATGGATTATAGAATTTATAATAAAACAACTTTAACTATTAAAGAATTAAAGAATGTTTCTTTTGATGAATATAACCCCTTTTAAGATGATATAGTTGTTTGTGATGATAATGATGTTGATATTTTAATAGTACCTATGGAAGACGTTACCAAAGATGACAAATTTAATCAATTGGAACACAAAGAGTAAACTATTCAACAAGAGGCAAATCAAAGTGATCTTCCTCAAGAATGGAGAACCCATTTTGATCACCTAATTGAAAAAGTTATTGGTGACATAAGCAATGGAGTTTCAAAACTAGATCTCAAGAATGCTTGCTTGAATATGGCGTTTGTTTCTCAAATAGAACCTTTAAAGATTGATGAGCCTTATAAGATGACAAATGTATTTTTTCCATGTAAGAGGAACTAAATCAATTCAAAATAAATCATGTTTGGAAACTTGTTCATAGGCCAATTGGAAAACATATAATAGGTACCAAATGGGTATTTCAGAACAAACTTGACGAGAATGGAATAATTGTTCGAAACAAAGAAAGATTGGTAGCTTAATGCTATAATCAAGAAGAATGAATTGATTTTGAAGAAATTTTTGCTCCATTTGCAAGGTTAGAAGCTATTTGTTTATTACTTTCTTATGTTTTTTCATTAAATTTTTAATTATTCCAAATGTATGTCAAGAGTGCCTTCTGGAATGGATACATCAACGAGGAATTTTATGTCAAACAATCTCCCGGTTTTGAAGACTTCAAGAGTCCTTCACATCTCTACAAGTTAGAAAGACTTTTTATGGCTTAAAGAAAGCACCAAAGACATGGTATGATAGACTTAGAATCTTTTCTATGTGAATGAGGATTTAAGGTAGGAGTGACTTAGTGAAGAAGTCATGTAATTGACCAGACACGAGAAGAAGCTTGAAAACATTTGCTTGCACCTTTTCACAAACTATGTGGTAATCTATTTCTAGATGTTTGATTCGTTCATAAAATACAAGATTGGTTTGAATATGTAATGCACTCAAGTTTCCACAATAAAAAATCAAAAGTTTGCTGCAATGAATTTGAAGGCCATGTAGAAGATAAATCAAGCATTCCCCTTCACAAGTAGTTGTTGCATGGGCGCAATATTCAGCTTTAGAAGAAGAGAAATATTGCCTTGTGTAGATCCAGCCCAATCAACATTCGAAAAACATATCAATTATAGATGTAAATCTCTTGAGAAGAAGATTCCCCGAGCAGGGATCTCTTTGAGATACTTGAGAGGACTCTAGTAGCTGATTTGTAATGGTTCGTTGTTGGATTGATGTCAAATTGACTAATTTTTTTGGTGATGAAGGTGATGTTAGTAGATGTGAAGTATAAGAGCCGACCAATAGGGCATCTGTAGGTTTGGATTTCATGATAAGTTGAACTTGTGTTATTCACAAGTTGTTGGTGGGAGTTGTAGGTGTGGTAAGTGATTGAAAGCCAAGCAGACATGCATCTAAAATAAAGTCGAAGCAATATTTCCTTTAGCATTATGTGATGCCTCGTTGGGAATGTGCGACTTCAAGGTCAAGAAAATACTTGAGTTGTCTAAGGTTTTTGTTTTGGAACGTTTAATGTTGGACATGCTTGATATGGTCAAATTTAGCTAAAGATTTTTCAGCAATGATGATTTCATCCATATACACCATGAGAAGTGTAAATGTGGTAAATGTTTTATTGATGAAAAGTGAATGAATAGAGTTAGCTTAATGGAATTGTTTAGCAAGAATAAGAGAAATGAGTTTTTCATACATTTTTCTACTTGTTTGTTGGAGACCTCAAAAAGATTTGATCAGTTTACACACTTTATTGGGCTTGGAGGATTTGATGCTTGATGGCATGGTCATGTACACATCTTCCTTGTTGTTGATATCTAGTTGATGAATGAATCAATTGTGGATAGTTTTTAAGGCAATTACCAATCCGAGTGTGGTCATCTTTGCAACAGGAGAGTAATTATCAATGTAATCAAGACCTATAATTTGGTTGTATCCCTTCGCAACAAGGAAAGACTTATTTCAACTATGCTATCAACATGATATTTGATTTTGTAAACCCACTTGCAACCAATTGGACATCCATAACCAAATATATTAAAACATCTATCACTATTTGAAACTGAATTAACAAAGTATTTACTCTTTCTTATTCAAATTATAAACCATAAATTCTAGAGTGATTTACACTTTATTATTCATTATATGACTTGAAATTCTTCTTACAATGTGCTAAACAGATCCATTACATGTTTATTAAGAACTACTCCAACTTCAACTCCACCATTGCCATCTTTGCTCTCTTCTAAACCAATTGCCTTCATTATTTAAACAATGCGTGTATCAAACACATGAAAAATATTTCCTTCTAAAACACAAATCAACAAAATAATCTCTTTTTTATTCAAAATGCAAACCATAAATATTTAGGCATATTGTCCATTCACTATTTTAAGTATTGTTGAAATAACTAGAGATTCTTCTTTCAAAAAAAAAAACATCATAGTTCCACTAGCTCCCCAAAGTCAATTACCACACAGTCCTTCAAGAAACAAAGTGCTAAAGAGATCCATTACATGCTTATTTAGAACAAGGCCAATTTCAACTCCACCATTGCCATCTTTGCTATCTCCGAAACCAATTGATAAACCTCTATCTATGGACACTATCTCCACCTTTTCTGGCCTTCCATAACCAAAATCATTCTCATAAACACCATATCTATTTGACCCAGCCACTCCAAAAGCTTCAGATCCTTCATTAATTAAACAAGTATGTCTATCCAACACATCAAAAAAAATTTCTTCAAAACCACCATTTTCTTTTATCATCTTTATTTTCTCATAAATACACTTGGCAACTACAAAGACACCATCTTTATTTTTGAAATCAAATGGTTTTATATCAAAGAAATCCCCCGATATGCAGTTTCCAAAATAGTTATTTGGTATTTGTGGTTCCAACCTTGCTCTACAATCTATTGGAAAAGAAAAAGAAAACTTTTCTTTCTCTTTTTCAACTCCATGAATAGCTCTTGCAATAGAAACAACTGAATAAGCACAAGTGAGAATAAAAGAAGATAGAGTCTCTGGCTTTGATTCATTTGTATCGAGTATTTTCCATTTGGATAACACCTTTTGCTTTATTTTATTCAAATCTTCACGTGTGAGCTTGAACGTAGCACGAAGAGAGACTTCGAGTTTTGGTTCAGAAGCGAATATCTTCAAGCTTCGTTGGTTTGGTTTTTCATTTGGGAATGTCTTGGATAAGAACTCGATTGATTTATTTTCATTTGTGTCTTTGATGATATGTCTGTTGAATAAAGGCTCTAACTCTGGCAACAAAGTTGGTGATTCTTCTAGGGTTTCAATGGTTTTGTTGCATAGATAAGCCCAAGCTTTGACGAACATGGATAAAGATTTTCCATCAAAAACAGCATGGTGTGTAGTGATTCCTATGCTGAAGCCACAATATGGGAATAGAGTGATTTGAAGTGAGATAATAGAAGCAAACGAATCTGATGATTCCAAGTGGGGTATAAAGGAACGCGACAAAGAAGCTTCATGGGGTGAGTTTCCAATGACATGATAGAAATCTGAATCAGACTCTGCAACGAGGAATGAAACTCCATCATCTTCATTGGAATTGAATTGTATGAATGTTTTTGAAGAATCCGTAGGCCAAACGATTTTACCAGCTAAAGGGAGAAAGTGTTGGAGGGTTAAAGAGAGTGAAGATTTGAGATTTGGAACAATATTTTGGAAAAAGAAAGAAGGGTGAGAGTGTGGATCATGGAGGGTGTAAAAGTAGATTCGCTCATTTGGATGGAAAGTTAGCCAAACTATGTCAAAGAAAGTGAGAGGGACTGTTGTTGTTGTTGTTTGGGTTGATGATGATGGAGGAACAACTTTGATGTGTTGATGGATTTTAATGTTGTTTTTGTTGGAAGCCATGGAAAGGTCAGAGGAAGTATTATTGATTTCTTTGTAATGAAAGATTAGAAGAAGACTGTATATATAGTATATAGAAGTGATCTGTCACACAGGAAAATGCACGTTTAATTCCTATTTTAAAACAACTGTTGCAACACGTTACAAATATTTTATTTAGGTTACCAAATGCATGTTCCATTCATTAATATTTCATATGGATACACTGGTCTGCATTACCAGTAACACCACTATTAGACTTATTGTTACTCACATTATTCTCTTTGATTAGGTTGGCTAAAAGATGGTATTCAACCGGTATTCTAGGTTTTAATCTAATGGTTTCAGGATGATCAATATGATCAAAAGTCACATCCTCACAAGGACTTCCATCGTTTAGCATAGTTTTTTTCTTTATATAAAAAAACCTTTGCTTTTCCTCAAGACCAATAACATCAGTTTCCTTATCTACAAGATGAGTTTTATCATCAAGTGAGTCATTGCTTTTGATATCACTAAAATTGTCACAGAACAACGTCATGACTTCTTATTTCACATTGTACTCCTTTATCATATTCTTCTTCTATAATAGTTGAGTGCAATTGCTATTTGCAGCCAGATATTCATTTTCAACTCTTGATAATAAGACACAATTTTTCTTCTAAGATATTAAAATGTTTCAAATAAGGAAACACCCATCAGATGTCATTACTAAAAAAATTGTGTTTAGTAACCGAATTAGAGACCGAAAAAGCTTAAAAAGCAGTCACTATAATGTTTAGCGACAAATAACGCGACTTCTAAATTTCGATTGAAAATGTGTTAGTCGCTAACCTTTGGTGGATCATAGGTGGTGATTTCAATTCAATAAAATCGGTGGAGGAGAGGAATGGTTGAGGTGTTTCAAATTATGCTGAGATGATGGAATTTAACTCATTCATTGAAAGCTTGAAGCTGGTTGATCTCCCTGTGGTGGGTTGTAGGTTGAAACTTTTTAGAATTTTAAAAGATGGAACGTTTTAGTCGAAACATAAATTAGCATAAAGATCAAGAGATTGAGAACCGACAATGGCCTTGAGTTTTGCAATGAAGCTTTCGACAACTATTGTGTCATCAATTCTGAGATTTAAATGCATAAGACTATAGCAGGTACTCCTCAATAAAATGACTTAGCTGAGAGATTCGTTCGAACAATCCTTGAAAGGGTTAGATGCGTGTTGGTTAGTGTTGGACTGAAGAAGGTGTTTTGGGCGAAGGTTGTTTAAACAACAGCTTATCTGATGAACAGAAGTCCCTAGACTAGGTTGAACCTAGAGCTCTGAGATGCATGTTCCTTGGATATCCTAAGAGAGTCAAAGGCTATAGGTTGTGGTGCCTAGAACCAGGTCACAGAAGATGTATCACAAGTCGTGATGTAGTTTCCAACGTAGTCGAGATGATGTTCAAGAAAACCAATGATGTTGGTCGAAATGCATAAATCTGTAAAAAGGAGCTGGAACAGGTAGAGATTTATGTTGAGGTGGAGCATAGTGATGCTGAAGTGCATAACCCATATGAAGACAAAGAAGAAGAGCAAACTACTGAAAAGACTGAGGAAACTGTTGATCGCTATTTAGTATGTCTAAATGATTCGTGACTGCAAGTGCATAGTCGGATCGCGTAGCTTTAAAGATTATCGAACCCAAAGGACCAAGAATCGATCTACCATTATCTAATGCTACTACGTAAATCTAATGGTAATGGACTTCTAAACTTGGGATGCGAGTAAGGAAATGAGAGAAAATTGAAATATAATTTAAATCAAGATAATGCGAAATATCGGTATATAATTTTATCAATCATCGGGGGTTCAGTAATTCATGGGCGTTTAGTTTAAAAGGGATAATTGTTATTTTGTACTCATTTAAAAGACTTTATCTCACACTCTCGTGTTTATTGACTTAGATTATACTCTCAAATCAGAATGAAGGCTCTCGCTCTCTCATTTGTATTTAAAAACACTTTTTGAAAATAAGTAGATCATAATTAACCCTAAAGCGCTCTCGCTGTATTTAAGACTAATGTTCAGTTTTAGCTATCCGGTTAAGACCTTAAACTCTCGCTTTATTGATCTTAAACTTCGTTACATTTTTACTCTCATAACAAAAGTTATTAGTTATTAAAAAGAAATTGAGACCGGAAGAAAATGTCTGTTAAATTTACGCCATGATTTACTTAATCCCTTTCGACCGATCGTAATTACATACCGATATTAAAAGGTTTAGTCAGACATGGCTTGCATGCTATTACAAAATCTAATCTTAATGCTAGACAGAAAATAAAAGGGATGCATAAAAATAACAATAACTATAAAAGTAACTAAATGGAACTTGACAATTACGAAGAATAAAAAAACACTTGGATTGGATTATGGAGGCCGGCTTGCAGTTCATTACAAAGTTACAACCCGTAAATCAATCCTAATACTAACTGGAAATTATTTATCATTGTGAAAACCAATTGCCTTATACAAAATTACTCTAAAAACTGCCTAAAACTAAGAACAAAAACTCTAAAGAAACATACTACGGAAACAGAAATCAAACGTCGCTTTTTTTCAAAACCGTATGTGGCTTTTATAGTTGTTAGTGATGACTGATAACACGAAATCATATCGTTTATTTGACTTGACTTACATGAATTTATTTGTGATTATTGTTAATTTATCTTGATTTATGTTCTATTATACGGTTAATTTACTATGTTTTGCAGATTATGGAGAATTTGGATTAAAGAAAGAAAAGAAGAAGAAATAGAGGGAAAAGAAATAAGAAAGAAAGGAAAAAGCCAGAAAGTAGTAGAGAAGACAAATTTTGTGAGTGTGACGCTCGTCACAGCTCCATGACGCCCGTCACGACCATCATGATCGTCATGCTCTATCACACTCGTCACGACCATCACGGTCGTCACAGCTCCATCACACTCGTCATGAACCAAGTATAAGAATAACGTACAAAAACGGAAGTGGCCACGAACACCCTCAACTTAATTTCTTTCTACACTTTCTCCACTAACTGGCCACTACAGGAAGTTACTCTCACTTCCTCCATAACTCACGCATAAATAGGCCTTTGATTCACAACTTTCAGAGGGGGGGGGGTTCGACGTATCGAAGTGCTGCCAAAATTTCTATTGAAGCTATTTCTATTGTTTCTTTTATTTCCTTTCTGTTTTCCCTTTAGTTCAGCGTATTGTATTTCTTTCTGCAATTTTATTTCGCCATAGTAGAATCCTGACGACATTGTGGAGGATTACTCGAAAATTTAATTTCAGTACTACTTTTCAAGTTTTTATTAATTGAATATTTATTTTATTTCCTTCATTATGCATATTATATCATTTTGTTGTTTATGTTTATTTTCGTTTGCATTAATTATGATGTCTAGCTAAATTAGTTTTATCGGTAATACTCGGTGTCTTTCCTTTTTACAAACGATTTTCTGGCCGTAGTTTTTAATCTAATTCTCTAAATACCCTTTGTCACGAGAGTGAAAAGCTATTTATAATGGATTCTCCATGAGAGTGGGAAACTTATTAAGGTTCAAGCCGGCACGTGAGAGCGTGGGGTTTGAACCGGATAGTAAAAACTAGGCATTGATTTTAAACATAGCGAAAGCGCTTTAAAAGAAATTAGAACTTATTTGTTTTCAAAAAGTAGTTTTAACCCCAAATGGGACTACGAGAGCATACATTCCGCCTTAGGATTATGACCCGAGTCAACAACCAGCATGAGGCAAAGGTCTTTAAACGAGTATTTTCTCCTAAAATGTATTTGCAAAAACTAAAAAGCACCGGTGACCTGTCGAATCCCTGATAACTAAGGCCTTGCATACCGATATCCCTTATCAATATATTTCTAAAACTAAAAATCTTTATTTCCTTTGTATTTAATTTCATTCGCATTTAACTTTCCAAAGTCCATTAACTTTAGCTTTACGTCGTAACAATAGATAACGGTAGGTTGACATTGGTCTCTGTGGGTTCGACAATCTTTTATATTACTTCGATATTTTCATGTACTTACGGACACATCAGCGACGGTTACCCAAGATCTCAGGCTAAAACGTGGACTGAAGATCGGAGAAAATGCAGGGAGGTGTGGAGAAAATGTAGGGAGGAAGTGGCACACGCCACTTCCCTTCTTTTAGGAGTGACAGTTGTCAATCTTCCTACTTTCTAGGAGTGACACTCGCCACTCCCCTCTCCCTTTGGAAGGTGGCAGGTGCCACACTCCCTTGTGTTTGCATGGTGGCAGGCGCCACACCAAAGTGGCAAGTGCCACTTGGTGTATGGTAGCCCCCACCCTTTTTTTCTTTCCTTTTCTATTATTTCTTCTTCTTTTCTTTCCTTCCTCTTTTCTTCCTCTTTTCTTTCCATTTCCTTCATTTCTTTCTTCTTTTATTTATTTAATCCATATTTTTGATAACCTACAAAACACAAGAAAATAGATGCGTAATAAAAGATAAATCAGATAAAACAACGATAATTGCAGATAAAATTCATGTAAGTCAAGTCAAATATACGATATAATTTCGCGTTATTAATTGTCGATGACTGTTATATTCCAAACTTTTCTTATTTGATTTATCAAATGTGAGCATCCTTCATTTGTTTTTGTAGAGAAAGTGTTCGAATCATTCTTGTTTTTGCTGATTTGCATCATTATGTGAAAATGTCTTGGTTGCTTTGATTTGTGTGCTACTGTGCAGGAATTAGGCATGGAAATTTGAAGAGTAAGACACAAAAGTTATGACAAGGAAACCAAGTCAGCTTGCAAACATCAACAAGTTCGCACCGCGAACTTGTTAGCTTACCTGCCCAGAAAAACATCAGCAAGTTTGCACAACGAACTTGCCAGCGAAAGTCTTGAAAACTATGGTACTGTTCATCCAGAAAGAAAAGGGCCCTAAGTTTGCACAGCGAAGGTCTTGAAAACTATGGGATGCCAGTGTAGCGGGTTGTTAAAGTAACGACAGTTTAAATTA